ATAACTGATCAGCAATTATCCTTGACACTTTTATCGCGGGAGCTGTCCTTAATACCCCCCCCCACCAGGATATACTCGGAGAGCATTAAAAACCTTGTAGGCGACATTAGAAGAATTCCTTTGGCAAATCTGGGACTACTGCCACCCGAATAAAGTTGTTCCATTACCAGTTGGTTCGCCCATATCCCTGGACCCCTTGCCCTTTGAGTCGCGGCGAACGTCGTCATTTCTATTACGGTAAACTAGTTTTGCATCAGTAGTCCTTTAGATGTCCCCTCCAAAGTTAATAGCGCCCCACGAAGTCCTTTAATGCTGTTGAATCTCAAGCTTAATTAGCTTTCATAAACTTCATAGGTAAGGAAATGTTAAACAGGTGCCAGTTAAGTAAGGAATAAAGACGCTGGATAACCCTGAACAGAGCGAAGCTTGAAACTACAGGAAACGTGCGTACGTAACGGGGATCACGCGGGATGTTTGCTGTTTCTCTGCTGACGATGTCTGCTTCTAATCATTCGACATCGACCTTTCTAGTTTCGGCTAGAATCCTTTCCTAGGGAAGGACTAACTCTAAGCTGGCTACAAAAGACCAGCTGGCTACAGGACACCCCATGCTAGTATTTTGAAAGTAGTTGTAAACGCTTACCTCCGCACTATAACATCGAACTGGGACGCCAAACGCACGAGCAAGTCCAAAATCAGCCAATTTCAGCTGGCCATTGGAGTTGATAAGCAGATTTTGTGGTTTCAGATCACGATGAAGAACGTGATGTGCGTGGCAAAAAGCCAGTCCTCGCAGCAGCTGCAGCATCAGCGACTTCGCCATCTGAACCCCTATATATTCTGCACTTCTGGCTCAGATAAACTATCTAAAAAGCCGAGCAATGCTGAACCTGTTGATCGATATGACCATTCAGAGAATCGAAAAACTTCTTCAAATCCTGATCACAATATTCAAATACCAGCGTTAGCTTGCTTTCGGAATATATGACGTCATACAGACGGACGACATTTCTATGTTTCAGTTCCCTCAGAATACAGATTTCTCGCAGTGCTGAACTCGGAACTCCCTGGAAAAAAGCACTTGGAATATCCGAATGGAATAGCAACTAGAAATAGAAATTTGTAATCCGGTTTTTACAGATATTCATTTCCGTACTCTTTTGTTCCCAGCTCAAAAGACAAAGGCTTTGGCATTAAAGAGTACCCCCGCGATTGTATATTGTGGGTAACAGCTTCAGTAACGAACCTATAGCTGAGTGACTCTATAGGGAAGAAAAAAAAGCAGAAAAAAATCAACACGAAGGAAAGAAGAGTAAGGACACTGTAGCCTTTCTGGACGAGTTTTCCGGACCTGCTTGTTCTGAGGAAGTAAAGCTATACCCTGTTGCTTTCTATCTCACCAATCATTTCTTCGCGTCATCCAGTGCCAACACCATCTGACAAACTCGTGATAGAAAATGGCCTTTGAGCTTTGGTGAGCGGGGCAAATAAGGAGGCATGAGAACTGCCACTTATAAGGGCTGCTACTCCTTCACTACTTCGTGTAGAGCTGCAGAAGCGGTAACCTCGGAGACTGAGGACAAGACTGCTTGTACAAGGCAGGGAGCCTATGAATTGGCTGCAAGCGCAGACTGTCTTTGAATTACCATTCAGAACCGTAACAGCATTTCAATATGATCGGCCCATGCAATGTCTGGTAGGGCCAGTTGATGTCAAAGTTGGTAATTTCATCTTCTAAGACGAATCTGGTAAAATGTTGCCGAGCCTGACAGAAGTGGGGCTTCGTTGGAATGAGCGGGGAGCGACTGGAGTTTTGACCCCAGAGGTACATCAACTCGACCATTACCAGTTGCTCCATTCGGATCTTGTTAGATGTTGTCGATATAGAAACAATCTGCTATAACAACTGCCAACTTTTTAGTCTTCCTCCATCAATCCCTACGACAATTCAGACATGGTAAATTCAACTGTAATTGGCTGACGCCGAAGACAAGCAGCCTCAAGTGGCATGGAACGTATCTCTTACCGAATCCAACAAAGGCCTGTCCGGTTATCCGTTCACAGAATCGGAAATAGTTGATAGATTCGTTTGTGAAGATAAAATAGCGAAATCTGCACCTGTTTTCTAGAAGCTTTCACTCCAGACATTCTTCATAGTATAATGGTGCAAACATCGTGTAATTGTTCACTAGCTTATGGTTCGTCCAGCTGGGAAGAATGCATGTGACCTCGGTGGCAGGGTTAAGCCTCAGCGACCGGGTGACTACCCCCTCCTCTGACGGGGATCTTTGACCCTGTCAGAGAGGGGTAGTCACCCGGTCTTCAAAAAGCCGACTGATAGTAGAACCTTTTAATTATGTCATTCCCATAAAAAATACTTGCAGCTTTATCGCACACTCGTACTGGTCGCGATTATAAAAAGCGTTAGAAAAAATATCACTACTTACGACATTTCAGATCTGGTATCTTCCTAGACGCATATTTCTGAACATCCTTTGATCGGCTTATTGCGCCATCGTGCTTACCAGTGAATCCATGCAGGGTAATAAGGCGGGGTATGAAATCAGTATAGTGAAACTAAATCTAACTGCAGCTCGCTGCTCCAAGCAAGAAAATGAGCGCATCAGGCTTAGAAAGACGCTTCATAGACCGGTAAGTCAATAAGTGCCCCCTCCCCCAAACTTGAATGAACTCGAATGCGCGGAGTATTACTGGTGGAAATGATCAATGGTGATTACTTGAGTTCACGTTCACTTCAGTAACACGATGTGTAGAAGTAATTCGACCGCTCCGAAGTGGAGAAGAGGGATTCATTCATCGATGTGAAAGAGTTTTCCTCGCTACGTTCGCCTAAAATACCTGACGATTGAGATTGGCTAATCAACAAATAGGGCAATAATGGTGGAATGTGTAAGCTTGTGTGATTTATGGAGCCATTCACAGTCCATCTCCTGAATATGGAGTGGGCGTGGAAGGCGTAAGTCAATAGACCGTGGCATAGGATGCCGTTGTTTCGAAGGAAATTCCTTCTTTTAAACAAATATTATATTAGGTTGATCAAAAAGTTTTGACAGGGTTTTTTGAAAGTTCCAGAACTTTCGATTCTTGATCGATACCAATGACTACCATGTGGTAGTGGTAGAACATTCTAGAACTTCTCCGTAATGGGTATATATAGGCGCGCTTCCTCCTTTAGCTTAAATCACGATGTCAATTCCACGAGACCATGTTCGATACATCATCTTCTACGAGTGGCGCCGCGGCACCGGAGCGACGGCAACCGTTCGCAACATCAACAGCGTATGGGGAGGACACCACTTCCATCGCTACGGTCCATCGTTCAAGGAGACACGGACTTCGAAGACAAGTCTCGGTCGGGCGCCCTCGCCGTCGACGACTCCGTCATTCTCGACGCCGTCAAAGAGGATCCGGAAGTTAACACCCGCAGTCTTGCGACGAGACTTGGATGTGCCCAATCAACAGTCGTCGGTCGCCTTCAGGCCCTCGGTTACAGAAAAGTGCTGACTCGATGGATACCTCATGTCTTGACCGATAGCATGCGGTACACCCGGGTATCCATTTGTCAGTCTCTCCTTCTCCGCCCACATCGCAAGGAGTTTCTGGAGGACCTAGTTACTGGAGATGAAAGCTGGATCCTCTACGACGCTAACAAGCACCGCGCCGTCTGGCTCCCGCGAGGAGAACAGCCGCCGACGCAAGCCAAATCCGACCTCCACCCCAAGAAGTTTCTCCTTTGCTGCTTCTGGGATTCAAAAGGAATGCTGTACTACGAACTGCTCAAGCAAGGCCACACCGTCACCGCTCCCTATTACGCTGGTCAGCTGCAGAAACTTGCGGAAGCCGTTCGAGAAAAACGGCCTAGACGAACTTTTGTGCACCTCCTCCATGACAACGCTAGGCCTCACATAGGTAAAGAGACCCGTGCAAAATTGGAGGAGCTAGGCTGGGACACGGTTCCACATCCACCCTATTCACCTGATATTGCCCCTCAGATTACCACTTGTTCCGGCCCCTCAAGGCTTTCCTAGCAAAAAACGATTCGTCAACTATGACCACCTTGAACAAGTGGTCGGTGACTTCTTTGACTCCCAATCTCCCCAGTTCTGGGAGAAAGGATCGCTGACCTGCCCGTTAGGTGGGACAATGTTATGACTAACGATGGTTATTATATTGTTGATTAGCTTGCATTGTTTGCTGAGTTGTAAAATAAAACAGAAAAAATCTCAACCCTATCAAAACTTTTTGATCAACCTGGCGTCACCCCGTTTAACTGAAGCATCTACGCGCCCACCATACCTCAGGGATAGAGGGTTTACATCTTGTGTGCGAATTATGTCTGAACAAAGTTATGTTGCCTCGAAATGCTGAAAAATTACGCGCAAGTCAAGGTTTGCTCGGTAATGGGCACAAGCTTTAGACACAGAATTTTCTGGAAGAGCACACATTATTAATCGAAAGCTCTCTAGTCAACAACCGTACTGAACGCTTCATCCACATCACTTGAATAAAGCTGTAACCGAAAATTCGCGTGTTTAAAAGATTTTCCTCGTGATTTTTGAGGCAAAGCCGCAATCCCCATTCGACGTTCCATTTCCAGCTCCCTGTTTCATGGTGAACTATTCTCCAGTTAGACCCTCTCTAGCGATCACGAATTCCGTTCACCGTCTTGTAAAAAACTGTCTCTCGATGAATAAATCGCTTTTTGAAAAGGCGTTAAACTTTCGCGGTACACAGTGGCTGAGGTACAGTTCTCCAATATCAACACGCGCTGAAGCTGCAGCAAAAGCAGCAAATGACGTTCCATTTTCAGCTCCCTGTTTCATGGGCGAGCGGGGATGGGGTCGTTTGTATACACACACGAGGAGAAAGTTCTGCGGACGCAGTAATTTTTCTCGAGGCACTCTTGACCTTGCTCGGTGATGTCCTAGCAGTACACCTGCCCGGGAAACGTGAAATCAGACTTCATAGTGGAAGGTAAGACATCATTCTGTTAAAGGCGCTGCTGAATGCTGTGACAATGAACATGGTCTTGTTGAGGTAAGCTGAAGCTAATCAAGGTCGGAACAGTGGGGATTTCTGATCCCTCCTGCCAGCCCCTCGGCAGCTCTACAAAACAGCTCCAACTCTCCTCCCTCCTTCACACAATGCCAAGCCAAGAAGCACAAGTTTATTATCGTAAAAAAAACTACTCAGCATACCTCGTCGTCATCGTCAAGTCGAACTCGTTTCAGCGCTACGACTTCGCCTCCCTCTTTGTTGCGAGCTTTGAATACTGTTCCATAAGTCCCTGAAACAGACATTATCGAACGGCGTTTCGGTGAAGCTTACAATGCTATACAATAGAAACCTGGATAGCGGAAAAGTATTTCCTGTTTTTGGTAATACCTTCAGTATTGCTAACGGTAAGCACGACACATACAGGGGGGGGGGCAAAAAAGACACTTTTCTTCCTCGATTTTCAAAGCGATATAAGTTACACTTTATTGAATTTGATTGGAAGAGAAATTCTGCCACGCGACTGTGACTCGGTGCCTAAGTTCAGCGAGGTCGTTGGTTTCTCCGCCATAATCGAGGGGGTTTAGGTCAGGTGATACACTTATATATTCTGTCTCCTCCAGGTACTGAACTTCCATTCCCAGTAGGCGAAAGGGCACTATTTACCCTTTACTGCCCCAACCATCCAGAATTGCCGGTTTTTGACCGACTTTTTTCTCCGTGGACAGATTTGGCTCAAATGTTGTCCCCTTCGGTACATGTCTTGAATACGAATATCACATTCGCTTAGCCTGAAACTTCCTGGCGCCCGCGCCACAGGCGCCGGTGACTTGGGGTAATTTGGCGCCAGCGCCTGTAGCGCGGGCGCCAGGAGGTTTCAGGCCAAGCGGATGTGATATTCGTGTTCAGGAGGTCAGACTACCCCTGGGAACAAGTTTTCAGCGAATTTGGTGATTTAGGGTATTTTGGCGCCGGCGCCTGTGGCGCGGGCGCCAGGTTTCGTGCCGAGCGGATGTGATATTCGTATTCAGGAGGTCAAACTACCCCAGGGAACAAATTTTTAGCCAATTTCTGCCAACGCAAAAAAGTC